CCCTCTCTCTCTCTCTCCAGGCAGAGCCCGTGGGCTGGCAGCTCAGTTCGTCTGACCCAGCGGTGGCATCACCAGGTCTTCCATTGAAAGCCAAGGGCTTGCAGGGAGAGCGAGGGGAATTCCCGCCTGCAAATGCAAAGGTGGATGCCAGGCAGGACGAGTGTAGCCTCAGGTACGCGGATCAAGCCACTTTGGAATACATTGAACACGCTAACAGGGCACATACATAGCAGCAAAGTTAACTATAAGCCTTTTCTTTTACATAATGTTTTTTTCAAACTTATTAAGATGAAGTACGTTAAACCGCAAGGATTGATTTCAGAATCAACGTTTAGAAGTAACCATTGCCAAAAACACTTCAGTGTTATCTGAAATAACTTTTCTTTTTGAAGGGTCAAGCTACAGAGCTGTTACAGGACTCGTTTCCCCGCAGCAGGACAGCAGAGCAAAGAGCTTGAGGGGAGAGTTTCTAGCACAGCTGAAGTGAGAAGCCTTTTTGTGTCTTGCCTACAGCTTTATCTACTTTGGCAAATAAGTAGAGAAAAAAAAAACGGAAAAAAACCCACTTTAGTTGAACAGTTACATAACTCTTCTGAGTTGACCTAAAGACTAAATTAAGAATTCTAGGAATACAAGACAATTCCCAGTCAGGATTATATACTCTTGGATATTGTGCATTTGAGGACTACAGGCGCAGGGGCCATCAGAAATCTCACCCTAAGTCTTCCATTCCTTGCTAGCAGGGAACATGGGATATACTTCTGGTTCTCTCCAACCTGTTGCTTCTATTGTTAGGATATTATTTAAGGCAAGTTTTGTCATTATATTAAGTATCAGATTTGTTGTGTATCTTATATGCTTGATTATAATTATAATTCATTAATTGATTACAGAATTTTTAAATAGTTTGTCTACTGAGATTCTGTGGCTACAAGCATAAGGTAGGGTCTTACTCAGCATTAGTTTAGAAGACAAGCCTTTAAGCAAGCTACTTCAATGTTTTGGCTTTACAGTACTTTTGTCTTTCTCCCTAGCTCTCAATTCCTTCATCACAATAACTCCAGTCTTCCTCTCAAACTATTCAGAAGACTATTGTTAATATTTACACTAAACTTTGTTTTTACTTTCTTCTTTTAGCCAGCCCCATAATTTCCCCTTCTCTCATTAGCAATTAAAAAAAGTTTAAAAAATAAATATGGCTGTTGTGTTTTTTGTTTGGGTGGGTTTTTTAAAATCCTAATGGCTTCTAAATCAGAACTTTCATTTCTCTGCTCCTCTAACCCCCATAAAAGAAATTAGCACATACTTCAATGGAAAAAAGTTGGCCTTCACCCTTTTATTAGGATTAGCCAGCTGGTAGTAGTACTTCCTTAATAAAGCCATCAACAGCAGTGGAACAGTGTGAAGGGCTCTGAGCCCTGGAGAGTGTGAATGGCAGTGTCATACGCTGAGAGCACAAGCTTGGAATCATAAATCACATGAATGACCAAAAATAGGATCATGTGACTGGTTATTCTGCTGCTCAGAAGGACATTGAAACTCACGAGCACTTCATGTTTGGATGTATCCTTTTAGAATTTAGAAAACAAAGAGGTTAAATAAATAGATATACAGAATTAAATAGTTATTTTTGGTTTAGGCCTCATTTTCTTAAACATGTCTGTGTCACATCACTTTCAGAGAGGACTTTTACACAGTGTTAATTTTTGTTTCCATCAAAACTTCTGATATTTTACGTCACCACCCTGAAATCCTATTGTTGTTTCAAGCAATCAGAATTTTGGCAAGTTTTATACATTTATGGTATCTATTTTCTCAGCACTGCTTCACAAGGTAATATATTGTCTTGATCACAGTGTATTGGTCACTTTTTTGAAATGTTGGGTTTGGTAAGAGTGAACAAATACCTTGCCCCTCCACTCTTTTTTTTTTTTTTTAATACATTTCTTCAGATGTCTCACGTACCACAGATTCAGAGCACATGCATTTTTTAATGTTCTTGGTTCCCACAGAACTATAGTGATTTATTCTGCCTTAGGATTTACCACATGTGTCTTGTAACCCATTGTAGCCTATAGAGGGAGAGGTCCTCTGTACTCAAAGCAAGGACACTCATCCTTTATCCTTCTGTAAGCATGGAATAAAATTTTGCAAGAAAAACTCTAACAGAGGAAACCAGTTGCTGTACTTTCCTGTACTTGGGTTATCCATGGAAGTTGCTGCAGAGGTGTTGAGGTCAGGGCTCAAGTGACCCATTGAATCTTGAGGTAGGAAATGACCTCTGTGATCACTGAGTCCAACCATTGCCCCAGCACTGCCAAGCCCAGCACCAGCCCATGTTCCTCAGTGCCACATCTGCATCCCTTAAATCTCTTTGGGAATGATGACTCCACCACATCCCTGGGCAGTCTGTTCCAAACCTTCCAACCTCCTGGGAAGCTCTGCATCCCTCCCCTGTCCAGCCTTTACAACACTCTTGGTTTATAAACTTTTTCTAATCTCTGATCCAAACCTTCTCTGGAACAGCTGCAGGCCATTTCCTCTTGTCCTATCACTTGTTACTGAGGAGAAGAAACCTCCCCCCACCTGGCTACAACCTTCAGGTAGCAGGAGAGAGCAATCAAGTTCTCATTTAACTGACTGTGCTGCTGAGACTGCTGTTGCCACAGTGACTGCTTTGATCCTTCTCCAGCAGCCACCCTGTGTGACCTGGGGAAGCAGAGAGCAGCGAGTGCACAGATTGCTGTGTTGGAGCAGCTCTCCCTGTCTTTGCTGATGTGCTCCAAAAGCCTGATTGGGGTCTGGGATGCAGCTGAGGATCTGCAGTGCCGCACAAAACAAACCCTCGCTGAGATGTTCAGCTGCTCAGTGTGTGCCTCTGCAACCTGCAGCGTGAACAGGGAACAGAACACTTTATCCAGGGAGCTTCTGGAGCTGTTAACAACGCTGCAGGGTGAGGGGCTCTGCTCACATCATTTTGCCTGTGAATACATTCAAAGTCACATGTTCCCACAGGGTTCAGATGGGGAGCTCTGCTTGTTTCGTTGTGCTGTCACGTGGCAGTTTGTGGGTTTGTGTGAGCCGGAATGAACGCTGGAACTCCTGCAGGGAGCAGCTATGCTGTGCACCTGCACATCTGAAACACTGCAGATGCAAAGGAAGTACCCAGAAGCAGATGGTTTCTCTCATGTCCTAGCAGAGGCAGATGTAAACCAGAGTATCATTATAAATCTTTTTAGATTAGGACAAAATTTAATTTTTTCATGGTGCTTGAGAACAATTGCATCCAAGGATATGTGGATCAGAAAGAGTAGCTGGAATTCTGCATATAAACCTTTAATACTGTGATAAACAATTACCAATAAATATCTGGTTGCTAATTAAATATGCAAATAATCTGCTTTATGAAATGGAAAGCACCTAGAATGTTCTACTTTTACTATGTCCTAAAAGTTTACCGGGCAGCTGGATCCTAGTGATGTAAATAGAGTTAACCTGCAGTTAAGGCATCAAAATGCTGGTTTCTGAAACTATTTTCATTGTCTTTTCCTCAAACTCCCACATCTGTGTCTGCTTACCACAATGACAGCCACAAGTACATCGTTAATTGATGAAACACTAATGATAGTACTGAAATCTGTCATGAAATAGGAGGCATGAAAGGAGAACATTTTAAAGCTGAGCTTACTGGAATGTTATTTTTTCTACCACACCATGTTTTTCATTAAGAAACTTATAAAGCACATTTTTAGGGTAATTCCTGGCAGTGCCAAATTTTGGCACTGCCAGGAGTGCTAAAACTTTCAGCAAAGGTTTTGTGCTTTGTCTTTAGAAAGAACAGAAGTTTGTATCTTGATAGGCTGAGGTTGTGTATCTAGGTGCTCTGAAATTTGTGAGTTGAGGTTTAAAGTGTAGTCTGTAAAGATCACATTCAAAGAAGAAGGTGATACAGGACCTCCTCTAGACTCTTGTGTTAGGGAGAAAATAGCCAGTTAAGCCCAGCTGAAGGTTTTGATGACCACATGGATCTCACATCCCCTGATTCTCTCTGGTCTTCATAAGGCAGCACTGAGGCCTCATTGCAGTTTTCTGTAGAGTGGTTTTACTAGGGAGAAGTTTTCAGGAGAGAAAGAGCAATTACAGCTGTACAAATGTGCTTTTTTGCTGTTTTTATAGTCTGTGAGCGGGAAGATACATACTGATGTCTTTACAAGCAGTTCAATGGGTGCAGGTATGGGTGCTCACCTCTGTTCACTTCGTCTCTGCTAACTTAAAGCAGCAACTTCATTGCAGAGCCCAGCCAGCCTGGCTCCTGAAACTGACAGCTGGGTCTGCACAAGCCTCAACTTCTAAACTTCAGGGTAAAATGACAGGCTCGAGAGGGAAATATGGGGTAGGTGGTTTGGGAAGGCTGTACAGCTTCCAAGTGCCTCAGCCAATGGGAAAAGGAAGAGAGCACCATGGGGCCAGGAATTTAGGGTAAAAGGAGGGTGCGCCCTATGAAACCTCGAGAGAGAAAACCGTGCAGGCATGTGCCCCAGGGGACTTTCTCCCTTTATTTGAATAAAGATGCAGGACTTCTCTGTCTCCTTTGTGGACACTGGCTTGTCATAGTGTAATTTTTCCATACAAAAGCCCCAATAAAAGTTTGGTAAAGAGTGGAGAAAATAAGTGTATTACCCAATTCCGAATACTAGATCAGACAACACTTCAGAATAGTTGAATAGTGCAGGGTGCGCAGTTTGTGGTGATTGGGGTGGGGCTGGCCCAGCCTCATCCCCAATGGGCACAGCTGTGAGCAGCAGGTGAGCAGCACTGACAGCAATGAGCCATGGAGTGCCCAGGGGCACTGAGCAACCACCAAAGGGAGCAGAGGGCACACAGGGGCAGGGCATGGACAGTGAGGGGCACACAGGTGCAGGGCATTAACAATGATGGGCACACAGGTGCAGGGCATGAACTGTGAGGGGCACACAGGTGAAATGCATTAACAGTGAGGGGCACACAGGTGCAGGGCATTAACATGAGTGGCTCACAGGCACAGGGCATTAACCATGAGGGGCACACAGGTGCAATGCATGAGCCATGAGGGGCACACAGGTGCAATGCATTAACATGAGGGGTATAAAAGGTTGGGCTAAAGATCAAGCAGGGCAGATGCTTGCAGCCTTCTGAAGTGGTGTGATGCTGCTCTGCATGGGCTAAGGCTTTCTGAAATTGTTAGTACTCTGTTGTGGCCATCTCAACTGGGATGTATGCTGTGACAAAAAAGAGGTTTAGAAACTCTTCAGGGAGTCTGAACGTGCAAAATAGAGGTAAGTTATTAATTTGTCAGTTGCTTATTGTACTGTAGTAGGGAGGGAATTCTCCTTAAGGAAAAACTATTTAGATAGTTGAGAGTAATTGGAAACCCTAAACAATAGACTTTGAGGGCTTGTCCCTGTAGCTCTACTAAACTTTTTGAGGTTGTAGCTTGTGGACTGCTTTCAGTCAGTCCATAGCTAGCTGTAAAACCAGGCAACATTGAATCCCTTAAACTTGAGGCAAAACATAGACTCTCCCCTTGGTTAATAGAGTTCATTTAAGCACCTGTGAAAATTGAGCTGGAAATACTGTCTCACGTAAAGCGGGTATCCATATACCTGTTGTGAGCAGCATATGAAATAAATCCCTGAAACGTTGCGTTTTAATTCAGTTCTTGTGTGTGACGGCGAGGCCGGGCAATGACTGTGCCCGGCGCACCCACCCCGCTCGTTGTTCCTCCGTGCAGAAAGGTCCTGCTGCCCTCCTGTGGCCCTTCCCAGTGGCACGGATTTGTTCTGAAGCTGCTGGAACGTTAGTTTTCTTTTTAAAGCCGAGTTTTTAGCGGCCTGTAAAATGAGAGATGCCTTTATTCTGTATGAAAGAGCTAGTTTCAGGATGTGGAATGTTCTTCTGTGGTAAAATTACCTTTGCAGAGAACAGGACAGCAGTGGATGTCACTTATCCCGGCTTTTGTAAAGCTTTTCATCACACGTCTAGTATTCATCTGTCCAAGTTAGGGTTTCATGCTCTGAATGAGTAAGTAATCAGATAAATGGAAAACTGGATGAACAGGCAGGGGAGAGTGTTTAATACTGTGTGCAAATGCTGGTAACAGAAAAAATACCCCAGGGATCCATACTGAGACTGGTTCTGTTTAACAGCTTTATTAGCTGCTTAGAGAGGGTTGCAGGTGACAAGAGCAGGGGTAGGGCCAGGTGGCATGCTGGATGACAAAGCTGCCACTCAGATCTAGACAAGACTGGCAGGGACGTGCTTTACTGAAGCTTGTTGTCTTATATCTGAACCATTCTAGGAATCTGGTATCTCCTGTGGTGTCTTGAATGTATTGAGAAATTTGTTTTATAAGTCTAAATAGTGTAATATGCCAAGCCAACTAGCTGAGTCTTTGTTTGATGAAAAACACGGGTTATAATTTGTTGCTTTACAAAATTTGTGGTGAAACTATAAAACCATGATTGAGTCTCTTGTCAGTGTTGGCTTCAAAAAGTAAACCTCAAATTTCCACTGAGGTAATAGCCAAGTAATCATGAAACTGAAAATGAGTTCATGAGTTGAATTATTTTATAATTCTCTACTGTTAACTGAGATTAAAACTCACCTGGCAATTTTGAAAAAAAAATTCCTTTTTTTGGTGTCAGCAATACCAATAATTTCTAAAGTGAACTTTCTTCTCTTTACTGTTAAATAAATGAAAGCTTGTGTTTCAGCACTTGTGTAAAAGAAATTTATTATTGCAAGCTTGCTCAGTACTGTGCAGCTTGTGTAAAAGGTTGTCTTGTGAGTTTCTGAGGCATGATGGAGTAACTGCTAATGTTACTGAGTTCTGTAAATGGTGTAGCTGAGTGCTTGATTACTGCAGCACGTATATTTAAACTTGCCTCCTCTCCCCTAAACCAGGGGTCTCGCTGCTCAGTGCAGAGCATCTCCAGAGTGGCTCTGTGGGACTGCTGTGCAGGGCTTGCAGTAGGATACTGATTGTAAAACTTCTGAGCCTCGCAAGTTCTCTGCGTGTGCCCCAAAGTATCCTCTCCTGAGGACTGATTTGAGGTGAACTCTGTGGGATTCAGCTGTCTTTTGTGCTGAATCTAAGGTGCTTTGGGCAATCCTGAGTACTGTAAGAACCACACAAACAGGCTGTGGCTGTTCTGCCCACCTGCAGGACTGACACTGTCCAAGAGGGAGTGAAGGCAGAACACAGATGTGTCTGTCTGCCAGGGATTTTAGGAAGCCACAGGAGAGAGGTTTTGTTTGTTGGTGTCTTGTGGTAATTTGGACATATCTGCCTAAATTCAGTTGAAATAGTTCTTTGACTCTGGGCCTAAACAAATGAAGTTCCTTTGGACCTTGACTCTCTGGGCTGAAGTCAAATATTTAACATCTGCTTACAAGTGATTAGTTAATACAGTAAGGTGAACTTTTTAAGAGGTGCAAATGTTCTGGCTTGCATTTCTTGTTCAGCTTCCCTTCTGTACAAGTTCTTTACAAGTCACAAACTGGAAGAATATGGTGAAATGAAACTTAAAGGCTTTATAATTATCTGTGGAAACATCCCTGAAGCAGTAATGTGCAGCCTAAATGTGTAACAAGTGGTTGTCTGCTCAATGATTGAGGATTACTGCATAGAGTAAACTAGATCTGTGCAAAGGAAATGAGAAATTTGAGCCTTAACAAAACATTGCCGGGGAGATAACACCATCGCTTTTTAGAAAATTAATTCTAATGTGATTCCTGAGCAACAGAATCAATGTGAGGTACTGTTTCTGTGCAACTTGTTTAGTTTTCTGTTGCTGCTTTAAACTTTAGTAACTGTTCAGGTATTTGTAACTGATCTTATGTTTTGTAATGCTTTGGGACACTGAAATTGACCTTAGTAATAGACTTAACTGCTGACTTGGTGTACTTCTGTTATTCACAAAAAATGAGATCTTAAATATTTGTTTTACCTAACTAGGTATGAAAAACCTATACAGACTTTTATCACCATCATCTAATGGCTCCCCACAGACATACAGGAGTTAGGATTGCATTTTGGCTATACTGGTTTTAATGGCTTAGCTGCTTTATTGCTTTTGCTCTCCCTACTACTCACTGTTTTACTTTTTTTTTTTTTTAATTCCTCTAATAGTTGCTTTTCCCTCCAGTCCTTGTCAGCTGAGTTATTTAATGCCTAAATTGGAAGGCTACTTGAATTGTGGACATGTGCACATGCACAGGATGTTGTTTTGGTTGGTTTTTTGGTGTGTTTGTGTGGGTTTTCTTTAGTGTTTTTTGTTGTTGGTTTAGTGGCTTTTTTATTTTGTTGAGTTTTCTGTTTTTTGTTTTTTTTTTTTTTTTTTTCCAATAGCACTTAATAAGAATGTGCCCTTGATTATGGCTCTGAAGAAACTGGTTTTTGGCTTCCCCTATTTAGAAGTTAGGAACAAAGAAAACCTAAATTCTACTGAACTTAATAGAAAGGAAAATACTTGCCTTTTGCTTTTTTCTATGAGCCTCTTTTATCAGTTTCAGAGCAGTTAGATGGAGGAGGTGTGTATGTATGTATAAAGTGTATACCTACAGTGCCACACCTTCAAAAGAGAGTTCGTAGTGCAAATTCTCCCAAATCTCATAATATCTTTAAATCTACTTCTGCAAAAATGAGATTTGACTGCTCACAAGAGGGCACTGCAGCTCTACTTTTGTGCATGTTATTGTGAGCCATGAGAAAAGCAAATAATATTGTTATTTTCCTTTGTAACTTTCAAATGAAGCTCTACCAGTATAGAATGCCGGTTTGGTTTTGGTGTTTGTTTTATTTTTTTCTTGTTTTGTTTGTTTTTGGGTTTTTTTAAAGCAGAAATTAAGGCACTGGAAGTAATAGAGAAGCTAGTTGGGAGCTTTGAATGGAATGTCCCTTTGTCAGCTTCAGGGTCAGAGTTTTGTAGCTGGTGATGACTGAGACAAGCAAGATAAAGAAAGCTGTGACCTCATTCAAAAAAAAAAAAAAAGGGAAGGCTGTCTGACCATAATGAACTAATTTATTTACTTATCAAAACCTTAAGTGTCATTAGACAGCTCAGTAGGCAAGTCATCATGAGAGGAGTGTTCACTTAGTAAAGATTAATTATAGCCTCCAGCATATCAAGTTTATTATGTCCAATAAGTATGTCAAACAGCTGGAGGAACATGTTTGTCTTTACACTTGATAGCATTCTCTTGCCTCAAGGTTGGACTTGTGGAAGAATAATTAGTTGATGTGGGTGAATTGTTTCTAATTCTGCAAACTGTTTTTTGGTGTGTGTTTAAATCTGTGCTTTGAGTAGAACAAAATTAAGTATTGGATTGGATGCCAAAGCTGTGAATACATAACTCTAATAGTGCATGGACTGTAAAGCACAGTGGGGGGTTTTGTGTGTGGGTTTTTTTTTTTTGATATTTGATATATGCATTTACTGTATTTAGGAATAATTGTTGAATAATTTTTGTTTTAGGACATTTTTTTCTCAGAGGAAATATGAAAGACTCAAAACCTCAAAAATTGTTGGGCTTTTAGTGTCTACCTGCTGAAGAAATACTTATAACAAGCTGGCTTTACAATTTTCCATAATGTCTCTTTCTCTTCTGATATTACTTCTCATTAAATGGCATAGGCACTCACAAACTTGGTGATGTACAAGTCTCTGCCATTGAATAGACAAGGCAGGTTTGGTGCCACGTTGCAAATAGCTGAAGGGTCCACAAAAAGCCATGGAAACAAGTCTGTACTTACATGTAATTTATTATATGCTTTTGAAAAGCACATAAACTACAGGATTATGAAGGGGATTCATGGAGCTGATAAAAGCTACAGGAAACACCCCAATACACATTGAGAAAAAAAAGATTATTATAAGAAATGAGTAAGAAATGGTGTAAGGTGTTTCAGTAGAGTAAGGAAAGCTTCTGATAACAGAAGGAATTTAGGATCTCCAGGACAAGATTTAGCTAAAAAAAAAATAACATTTGTTTTTATACAGTGCTCTGAAAGTGATGTCAAAAAAGGAAGACAATTTTTGTTCTAAACAATAAGAAATTTAGATTGGTGAGAGGAGGCACAATTTTGAATTTTGAGCAGACATGGTGCAGTTTTGAAACAGAGGGAGAGGAATAATTCTTAAATGGGAATGTCTAGATAAACAACAAAAACCCCAGGTCAGTCTTTCTTTGAAAGCAAGTGATAAGCTCTGATTTGAAAGTAAGTGATTAGATTCTCTTATAAAAATCAAACTTTCTACTGCAATAAACCTGCGCT